ACTGGGGTCCAAGTTCATAACCCATCACCCGTCAGGCTGACCCTACTACGCCCCAAAACAAGAACATTATAATTGGTGTCAAGCCAAAAATGACGCGCGTACAGGTTTTATGAACTAGACCCTGTCTCATACGAAAGAGAGAGAGAGAGAGAGAGAGAGAGAGTGATTCGTCTGGGTTGTTTAAAGAGAAAGACAAAAAAGAAAACTTAACTTTGTGACTGGGGCAGGGGTAGTGGTTTAAGGGGATTAATCATTTTCCACTAAAGTAGTATTCGATAAACCCCGGGCAACATTTCACTGTAAACTGTCAGGGGGCTCCACCTCGTCAACTGTAATGATCTAGTGGGCAATGCCGGAAAACCGTTCGCGGGCCCTCGGGGCAGAACATTTGGTCAGGAGGAGGTGAATGTGATGGGCTCTTGGGGCTAGAGAATTGTGGGTGGAGTTAGGTTAGGTGTTTTCCAATGAGTGACTGTTTGGCGAGAAAACTACAAAGTACAAACACTTAATGCCTATTTACTGTTATTTTCCTTTTATTAACGTTAATATTATTTAATTTTTGTATCTTATCATCTTTGTTGCTTTTATATTTATCTGTTTATATAATTATTTATAACTGTGGTTCCATAGTTTCTTGAATGTTTTTTTTTTAAATATCTTCTTTTTTCATATTTATTATTTGTTTTTAGTTCATTTTTATCGTTTAATCAATTTTTAACTTTTGTTTTGATACTTTTTTTAAAAAGAGAGAAAAACATTCCCCTTATTTTTAGTTAAAATAAAATTAATTTAAATATTTTTTCAAAAAAGTTATAAATATAAAGAAACTCACATTAATTCCAGAAATACAAACGTTAAAAAAGAAACTGTTTTTTTTTTTTAAATCTAAGCGGATTTCTTAAATTCTGTACGATTTTTTTCTTCATTTTTTCATCTTCTGAATTTAAATTCATTTTTACATTCATCATTTCCCTATTTTGTTAAGCCTCTTTTTTTAACCACCTCCAGAGACATCATTTTTTTTTTTTTTGCGTTTCTAATTTTCTTGCTCAAGCTTTTTTTTTTTTTATTTTGTACTTCATGCTAATGCATTTTATTTTTGCTGACGTTTTAATAATTTTATTTATTTTATTCCTTAAGGAAATTTCTTTTTGGTTTATATCTTTCAATGCTTTTTGAACTTACTACAGCATTTCAACAAAGAAATCACATTTAATGTCAGAATACCTGCGGACAAAGTGCAGTCAACGTTTTGCTTGCAAATAACTTTACTTTTGCATATGTTCTAAATGACCGTTGTAGATTTTGCTGCCAGAATGATGATTAGCCAAATTAATGTGGAAGTAGGTGGAGTAGAAAAGGAAAGTAAATCGATTTAAAAGGAAGATAGCAGTTGAATAAGAGAGAGAGAGAGAGAGAAGGGAAGAAACTAAGACAGAAAGCGGGATGAGGAGAGTAAAGTAGATAGATAGATAGATAGATAGATAGATAGATAGATAGATAGATAGATAGATAGATATGAACAAAAGAAAGAAAGAAAAAAGAAAGAAAGAAAGACTGCTTTAAAAATGACCCCCTAAAACCTACCCCAGAGCTCAAAACTCATAACAGGTGACTATCTTCTCCCCCAAAGAAAGAAATACCGAAAGGAAGAAAAGTAAACACGAAAGTTATTGTAAAAATGGGTAAGAAACAGACAAAACAAAAATAAAAAGCACTAAAAAAAGATAGAAAGAAAGAAAGAAAGAAAGACGCATGGTTGCTTTAAAAATTAATATCTAAATTCACAACTCATAACAGATTACTATCTTCTCTTCCAAAGAAAGAAAGATAGAACGAAAGAAATGCAAATAAGAAAGCGATAAAATAAAATAAAATTCCTTGTAGCAAAAAGAGAAGGCCAGTGCAAAAAAGAAAGTAAGTTGTTACAAAAAGGAGGGTGAGAAAAAGAAAGACCAAACAAACAAAAAAAGAAAGACACTAAAAAAAAGAAAGATATGCTATATATGACATTCCTTGTTAAGGAGGGAAGTTTAAAAAAGATAAAAATGAACGAAGAAATACACAAAATATAAAAAAGCATTTCGAAAAAGTAGGAGTATAGCAATCAAGTTGATATTGAAAAAAAATCCGTCTAACAAAAGAATAGAAGTAAAATAGAAAAGGCTTAACTATTGAAATATATAGAAACGCTATGTTTCAGTGAAGTGGAAGAAAAACAAAAATATTTAAGAAAGAAAGAAAAAGAAAGAAAATGAAGCTGCTAACGACGAAAGAAAGATAGCAACAAATAAAATGTAAGGAGATTGACTGAGATTGTCGGAGACGGTGTTAATCTCGACATGTCTGCCTGCCAAAAATGTTAAGCCACGGATAAGGTGACAAAAAAGGAAAAAAAAATGAACAATTAATGATTGTGAAAGTGAAAGTGAAAGTAACAGAAGCCGTCAGCTTTTTAACCGGAAAGAAAGTGAAACGAGACACATACAAAAGAGGCAAAGAAAGCTGTAAGTTGTGAGACAGGAAAAAGTTAATGAACTCTACGATGGCGTCGATCAGTGTTTTTGGTGGCAAATTCGAGGTATGAGCAGGGAGGGGAGAAAAGGAAATGCTCAGTAATACGAATTGGCGGGATTTTTGTCCGTTATAAAACCCTGGCCTGTAGTTATTAGCCACGGCTCGTAGCTATAAATTTGTTGGAGAGTGCTCTTGTGTGGGTAAGGAGGTGGATTAGTAATCCGTTTGTCAGGCCGACAGGATCTAACTGACCGAAGGAGCCAATTTCACTGCAAATGGAACTGACCAAAACATGGACAACATAAACAATAATGTCAAAAAAAAAATCGTCGTAACAGCTTAACCCTGTCTTTGTCTTTGTTTTCGCCAATCTTTCTCTGGCTTTGATTTCATTTTTGCTTCTCTCTTTTCTCACTATCAAATGATATGAGAAATGAAATGAGAAATTATTTTTCTTTTTATTTCTGATACGTAATAAGAAAAACATTCTTGACAATGAAATCAGCGGGATGATTATATTTTACTTAAGCAAAAGGGAACATAATATCCAGGTGTATGACTCATTTAGATGTTGACGTACCTGACAATCTAATACGTATTCGCAGAATTTAGCGTCTCATACAAATTTTCCAGCTTTTTATACTTCTTTTCTTATTTTCTCCTTTTCTTTCTTTCTATCTTTATTTCTTTCCTTTTCTCTATTCCTATCTGCATAGATTGGGTTTCCTTTTCTACCTTTCTTTCTTTCTTAGTCATTTTTTTTCTTTCTTTCTTTGTGTGCGTATATGTATTGGTTTGGTGTATAATTATCAGGCGTTTTTTTATACAATATTTATTATGAAAAAAGAAACGTAACAGTTCAACAAGAACATTTTAAAATTATTATTCCGGAGCGTATTTTTATAACCTAAAAATAAAATAATATTTTTATTAAAAAAAAAAGTAAACAAAACAGCGATTTTTATTAACAAATAACTCGCATACAAAAACGCCTGATAATTATGCACCAACCCTAATATTTTTCTTTCTTTCTCTCTTTCTTCTTTTTTCTTTCCTTATTAATTTTTTTTTTCAGCCATTTAATTTTTCTTCTTTTCTTTCTTTGAATACGTAAGTGCATAATTTTGTGCTTTCTTTCTTTGTTTTCCTTTTTCTTTATTGTTTCTTTCCTTTTCAATCATGTAATCATTCTTTGTATACCGATGTGGATGATTGTATATTTTATTTTTTTTATTTCTTTCTTTTTCTTTCTTTTTCCTTCTTTCTTTCTCAATTATTTACTCTTTCATTCTTTCCTTGTATGCGTATAGTTACATGATTTGTTTACTATTTCTTCCTTTCTCAATCACTTTCTTTCTTTGTATGCGTGTGTATATGGTTGCGTGGTTTCTTTCCTTCATCCTTTCCTTCTACATTTTCTCTCCTTTTGTGTGCGTGTGATACATTCTTACTGCTTTCCTTGTAAAAGCTTTTGGAAAAGGAATAATAATAATAATAATAATAATAATAACAACAATAATAATAAGAAGAAATGAATGCATGTCATTTTCACCCCGATCAGTTATGGGTGAGATAGCAGTGTAGACTGACCTCTCTAGTCTTGGTTGGTATTAAACCTAGAAGAAGAAATACTCTGTATTCAAAACTATAGAGAAATCAAAGGAAAACCAAGACAATAAAGATATAATAAAGAAACGATATCCCTGAAGAGCCAGGATCGCCTACGTCCAGAAAGGACTAAAAATCGCCTACGTCCTGAAAGGGATTGCGCACAAAAATGTTAGATGCCTTCAATATCTGTCTATATCTCTGAGATGAGGTATTATGATTATTTACACTATTTATATTATTCGAACTGTTATCTTCATCTTCATTGCCATATTCACAACGTTTTGGCTGTTGTACGCTCCGGCTTTTTTCAGGTGATTGGAATTTCGGACAGAACCCTTTATTTCGTCCATCTCAGTAGATTGTTGTAGCTCCACGTGGCATGCCTCTTCCTCAAGAACACAGGACCCAATGGAGAAAGACTTTGGTTAGGTTCAGTGACTAGACCGAAAGAGTTGTGAGTTCAATACCAGGCTACAGCAGTGGTGAACCAAAAAAACTTTAGGTTGAATTAAAGGAAAATAAATGAGACATCCGGAAGATATATATATATATATATATATATATATATATATATATATATATATATGTGTGTGTGTGTGTGTGTGTGTGTGTGTGTGTGTGTGTGTGTGTGTGTGTGTATATATATATATATAATTTTAGGTTTAAAATAACACGTAGCTGATCGTGACTCTCCACATCTACCTTTTCATTATTATCTGTGAATTGAAAAGCATTCTTGCGGAAAATAGTGGAATGGTTATGCGTTGAGCTCATCCCAGTTTGAATTCAGATTTTTCTTCTCCTTGTCTTTTTGGGGTTTTTTTTTTTCCATCAAGAATAGTAAGCCCAGTCGATTCTGGGAGGGGAAACGC